CTGTCTATGTCTAATGACAGTTGAGTTTCCTGGTGACCTACAGTTATGGCCACAAAATATTGGCACCCCTGCATTTCTGTCAGATAATGCACCACTTTTGCCCAGAAAATTGTTGCAATTACAAATGTTTAGGCATTCTCATGTTTATTTCTTTTGTTTGTATTGGTAAGACACAAAAAAGTGGAGAAACAAAAAAAATCTAACACATTCCACACAAAACCCCAAAAATGGACTGAACAAAATTATTGTCACCTTCTCAAAATTGTAAGAACTAATTGCATTCTAAGTTTGTGATGCTCCTGTAATTTGTAATTAAACTCACCTGTATCAATTAACAGATCTTAATGTTCCTATGTCCACTGTGCACAACATTGTCAAGAAGTTTACAGCCCATGGCACTGTAGCTAATCTCCCTGGATGAGGACGAAAAAGAAAAACTTTTCAGATTGCAGTGAAGAATTGTTAGAATGGTGGATAAAGATCCTCAATCAAAAGAACCTCAATCAACTTCCAGACAAATGCAAGCTGTCCTTCAGGCACAGAGTACAACTGTGTCAGCTATACGTCACTATACATCACCATCTGAATGATGCTATGGTAGGAGACCCAGGAGGACCCCATTGCTGACACAGAAACATAAAAAAGCAAGATTGGAGTTTGCCAAAGCTTACCTGTGAAATCTAAAATTCTTTTGGAAGATTGTGCTGTGAACAGACAAAGCAAAATTACAGAGTTTTGGTAAACCCAGCATTCTACTGTTTTCAGAAAAATAAATGATTCCTTTAACCGCTTCCCACCCGCTCTATAGCAGATATACTACTACAGGGTGGCACGGGTACGCAAAATCACATATATATACATGATTTTGCATTTCCAGGTGCCCTAACCTTGCCGCCATTCACGGCTGTCAATTACCGGGTCCCGAGCCCTGAGGAAGTCATGTGACCCGTGACTTAACGCGTAGGACGGAAGCGTGGTGACATCACATCCGGTACGGACAGCAGCCGCCATCTTGGTACTCCTGATCCCATACACCTTCCCTGCAGCTTTTTGCTGCAAGAATTTTGCCTTTTTTGGTCTGCGGACCTATTTTAAATGTACTGGAGGTGATAGACGCCTGTGGCCATATCTGGAGCATGCCTGTGAGTGTTTGTCAGCGCCATTGGAGAGGACCTTTTGCTCGTTGATTGCTGTTGAGGACCTATTTCTTGGAATCATCGTTTGAGGTACTTTATGCTTTGTGACTCCTTGTGGGTCGCATTTTGAAGGTGAGCGCGCATTCTAGCCGGTGGAAGATATCTTCGTATATTTGTGCAGCACTAGATGTTTTACGGCATGCACTGAAGATTTACTGTGTTTTTTCCTATTTTTTGGGACTGTTATTTTTTTTAGGACTGAGTCACTTTATCTATTAACATTTTTTGGGACTGAGTCACTTCATCACTTCATCACATTATACACATCATCATTATTATTATGTTCACTTCTGTCACCAGCACATTATAGCATTCTGTGCTGCCGTTATTATCATTTGTCATTGTTTGTACCCATTCAGATGTTTTTTGCATATATTATGTTTACACTTGGATGAGGGGTATATGTATATTCATTATATATTCAGTTTATGCTGTTATAGTTTATTGTACATGCACTAAGTAGCGCAGCACCCATTCACTGATGGGCACTGATAGGTGGAACTGACTGGCACTGATAGGCAGCTCTGATGGGCACTGGTATGGGGCATTGATGGACACTGGCAGGTGGCACTGATGAGGCTACACTGATCATCAGGACACTGATGATCAATGTAGATGTCCCCTCTGAGGAATGCCAATTACTGGCTCTCCTCGTACACTGTCAGCGTGAGGAGAGGACTGCCGATAACCGGCATTTCCTATTCACATGCGATCAGCTGTGATTGGACACAGCTGATTACATGATAGAGCCTACGTCATCAGCTCTTTACTGTGATTGGTGATCTGCTGTGTCCCAGGGCCACAGAGCACCACCAATCGCTGGGATGCGCATGTGCAGCTAGAGTGGGAGGACGTCATATGATGTCCTCCCAGAACGAGAGCTGCCGCCCTCCCGTTATTTCCTTATATGGCAGGTGGGAGGCGGTTAAAGAAAAGAATACGGTCCCTACAGTGAAGCATGGTGGAGGTTCACAGATGTTTTCGGGTTGCTTTGCTGCTTCAGGCACTTGATGTCTTGACCGTGTGCATGGCATTATGAAATCTGAAGACTACCAAAGAATTGTGGTGTGCAATGTAGGGCCCAGTGTCAGAAAGTTGGGTCTACATCATAGGTCATGGGTCTTACAGCAGGACATTGTTGATTTAGGGGTGTAATCATTTTTTTAGCCATTCAGTGGGCCTGATTTGGCTGCAGTTACCAGTAACAACCAGTGAAATACCTTGTTTCATGTGAAGTTTGCTTTGGTTACATAGGTAACGATAGATGTGCGACAAAAGGCTCAATTAGAAAAGCTTTCACACAGGATAAAACAATTTTTAGCCATGTAATTTCCAAATTTCATTTCACTCAACAAAAAAATAACTGACACCTTTTTTTTTTGTTTTGAATAAGGATCCTTTACCTGGTATGTCAGCTTTGTGATTTAAATCTAAGGACTGATATGTATGTTTTTTGTAAAATGCTATGGAAAAAGTGCAACATAATGTAAAAAAAAATAAATGTAAGCTGGAACTAGCAGGGTAATCTGATCCCTCTTGTATTGAATTGTAATTTAACTGTACTGTCTCCCTTCATTTTGTAAAACGCTGCACAAACTGTTATATAAATCCTGTTTATTATTATTAATAAATAATAATAATATCAGAAATTTGCCTTAGCCCTCATTCACACTTGAGCATGAGCGATTTTCAGGCAATTTCAAAGCTTTTTTTTATGTGTATTTGTGCAGGCATTTTTCAGGCTTGAGCATTTTTGTTTTAGTCAATGAAAAAGCTAGTAACTTGGAGGTGGAGAGGCAAGAAATTGTGCAATAAAACATGTTTTCAGGTAATTGTCAGGCACTCTCATTGAAGTCCATAGGGGCCAAAAATGCATGAGTCTGCCCAGGGCTGCTGTTAGAAATCATGGGGCCCCATACAGCAAACCTGACAGGGCCCCTCCACCAAAAAAAAAAAAATATGCTTCAGTTATGAATGATCACAGTGAGTGATTGTTACCGATCACACATTGTGTTCATTCAGGAAAGGAAGGGCCTGGTAAATGTGACATATTTACTGGACCCTCCCCCCACTCAAAATTCCTTAATGATCCTGAAGGATCCTATTGTGTGCTTGCAGATACCGGTAGAAAGGAGAAGAGGGAATCCAGCAGCACTGTGGGGGTGGGGGCCTGGGCAGCAGGGGGAAAAGTAGGGTGCACAGGGAGGGTGATGGGTGTGGTGGGAGAGGGGCAATTACTGGAACCAACCCCCTGTATGGCTCTCTCTGCAGCAGCTGAAAGCCAGTTGGAGGAAGAGGAGAAGAAGCCACCCGCTCTGCCCACATCTGGTTCAACCAGCTGCCTGGGCCCCCCCTCTGGCCTGGGCCCTGTACAGTTGTACTGCTCTTTATGAGATTCAAGCAACAAGCTTTAAGTGACACCATGCTCAGGGAATCTTGATGTTGAGTGTAGAAGGGCTTCAGGAAACGCGCTCAATACACTCAGGTGTGAACAGGGTCTAAGAATGAAAATCGTTATGCTATTTATAACAAACAAGAAACAATCTCTGATTCTATCAACTGTGGGTTGATGGCCAGGTTGTATACCTTCTGGAAAAAAAAAGAAGTATCAAATACAGTCCTACTGTTTGGCAGAGAGGTCTGCATCACAAGACTGGCTCAATAAAATTTCAAATCTTTTGGCAGATAACATACCGGTAGTTTGCACACACACCGATCAGCCATAACTTTATGATCAATGATAGGTTAAGGGTTGGTTCACACCATAGAAACGCAATCGGGATGAGTCCCAGATGCGTTTCTGTATGCGTGTCTTTGACACATTCCGGATCATCTTTGATACGTTTTTGATGTGTTCCAGTTCATTTTTTCTCCCTCTCTTTTTCTTCAACTTAAATAAGGAGATGTGCTTTCCAGTGCATTTTTGGTGCATTTAGGTGCATTTTGCTGCATTCCAGTACAGTTCAGTGCAGAAAAAAATGCAGCATGTTCTATATTTTTTTATGCAACTGGAGCGCACTGGAACTGACCGCACTGATGTGAACTATACCATTGGAAACCATGTACCTACTATCAATGTGTTTTTGATACAGAAAAATGAATGACACTGATTACCTTGTTACTGTATATTAGCATCTGAATGTTGTGGGATATATTAACCACTTGCCTACCCGGCACTTATACCCCCTTCCTGCATGTTGTACCGAGCAAGAATTGGCAAAAAAAATTCACAGACTGTTCAAATGGCTACTCAATTCAGAGGGGGGGTGCAAAGACGTGTGAATGTTCAAGCATAATAAGAGCCTAGCCAATTTCCAGCTCTCAGCGCTGTCACACTTTGAATGACAATTGCGCGGTCATGCAACACTGTACACATATGACATTTTTATAATTTTTTTGTGACAGATAGAGCTTTATTTTGGTGATATTTAATCACCTCTGGGTTTTTTATTTTTTCTTAAACAAACCAAAAACTGCTGAAAATTTTGGGGAAAAAAAAATGTTTTTTCTTAGTTTTTGTTGTAAAATTTTGTAAATAAGTGATTTTTCTCCTTCACTGATGTGCGCTAATGAGGCTGCAGTGATGGGCACTGATAGGCTGCACTGATGGACACTGATAGGTGGCACTGATGAGGAAGCACTGGTAGGTGGCACTGATGGGCATTGACAGGCATCACTGATGGGCACTGAAAGGCAGCACTGATATATGGCACTGATAGGCGGTACTGATAGGTGGCATTGACTGGCACTGATAGGTGGCACTGACTGGCACTGTTAGGCGGCACTGACGAGCACTGATAGGCGCACTGATGCACACTGATAGACGGTACTGACTGGCACTGACTGGCACTGATCGGTGGCACTGATTGGCAGCGCTGATAGGTGGCACTGATTGGCATTGATAGGTGGCACTGACTGGCACTGATGGGTGACACTGAAAGGCAGCTCAGATGGGCACTGATATGTGGCATTGATGTGCACTAGTAGGCACTGATATGTGGCATTGATGTGGCACTGGCACGTGGCACTGTTCAGCACTGGCAGCTGGCACTGATGGACACTGACAGGTGGCACTTCTGGGGCCACACTGATCATCAGGGCACACTGATCATCAGTGCCCTGATGATCAGTGTACATGTCCCCTCTGCGGAATGCCGATTATCGGCTCTCCTCTCCTCTCGAGCTGTCAGCGTGACAGCTCGTGAGGAGAGAAATGCCGATAACCGGCATTTCCCTGTTTACATGTGATCAGCTGTGATTGGACACAGCTGATCACATGACCGAGCCGACATCTTCGGCTCTTTCCGTAGATCGGTGATCGGACACAGCGCACCGCCGATCACCGTGCTGCGCGCTCCCTGAGACGTGCATGCGCGGTGAGAATGGGAGGACGTCATATGACGTCCTCCCAGAATGAGAGAACAACCTTGTGCCCGTCATTGGACTATATGGCAGGCAGGAGGTGGTTAAGCAGCATGTAAACATGTTGTCCATGAAGTTGATGTGTTGAAAGCAGAAAAAATGGGCATCGCAGTTTGTTGTTTATGGGACTGCATAGCCACAGACCAGTCAGGGTGCTCTTCTTGCTGACCTGCGTTCACAGCTGTGAGCATCAGAACTGGACAACAGAGCAATGGAAGAAGGTAGCCTGGTCTGATGAATCCGGTGCATGTGTGTCACAATGTTTTACCAAGAAACCTTGGGTCCTGCCATTCATATGGATTTTACTTGACACGTACCACCTATCAAAACATTGTTGCTGACCAAGTACACCCCTTCATGTAAATGGTATTTCCTGATGGCAGTGGCCTCTTTCAGTGTGGTAATACGCCCTGCCACACTGCAAAAATGGTTTGAGGATCACTACAATGAGTTTGAAGTGTAGACTTAAGGTGGGAATACACAATTAGAAAATCAACTGATCGGTCATCCGACAACGAGAGGCGTTCCTTCGTTGGTCGAAATTGTGGCCCACATTAACCAATCTATAAAAATCATTCGTCGGGCAACACGTAGTGTTGACGTCTTTCGTACACGTGGAAGTGATGTAGTGTGCATGTGACCTTGTAGCCATACCCTTCCGTCTAGAACGAACGATATACACAACAGTCAATTAAAAGCAATGAGTATAATATAGTTCATTACATTACCGATACACATAAATAGTGATACATAAAATATAATATGCAGAATTCTGGTTTCACTATCTCATTAGGCCAATCTACTTTTAACATTTGGATTTTTCATTCGTGTTTACGAAGATTCCTTGGACATAAACATCCAGGTCATCTTCTGTTTCCGCTCATGCGTGATAGCTCTTGATAGATTTTTTTCTGTACGACCGACATACCACCACATAGAAAATCGGTCATTCGTATGCGAAACAACATTTTTCACTGTTGTTCAACCGGATTTTTTCGTTCACAACCATTATCGGTTAAAACATCCTGCTCATCAACGAAGAAAAAATCGTTCAATCAGTGGTTTCATACGATTTTCTTATCATCTGTACAGGGCATTAGTCTCTAAATTCTCCAGATCTCAATCCAATCGAGCACCTATGGGATATGCTGGAAAAAAACAAGTCCAATCTATGGAGGCCCTACCTCGTAACCTACTGGACTTAAACAATCTGCTTCTGTCAGCTTGGTGCCAGATACCACAGCATACCTTGGTCTAGTGGCATTCATCACCTAGGGGTATGGTTCAAAAAGTTGGGGTCTAACAAGTATTTTTGGGGGTCATTTTTGCCAGACTTTGAGATTCAGTGCTGTCTTTAGAGGAAAACTGTACCGAGAGGTATTTATAGACTCTCTGACCACTTCTGCTGTCTCTTTGGCCTTTAATATTTCCTGAGTTACTGAATGGTAAAAGGTATACATATGGAGTTCTGCCTTTGCTTGCTGAATTCTTGCTCTGGATCAGTGACTCAGAGGTATTGAAATCTTTGTGATGTAGGAACCTTATGCAGATGCGATTTAACGCGATGGGTGGTTGTGGTCCTAGAAACTGCTCACCAGCAACTGTGGGGTCTTACTGGACCCCAAGAGGAGTTTGTTGAAGTTATGAAAGGAAGGAAGTGCCAAACCAGCTTGTACCAGACTTTTTAAAAGATTTATTTTGTAACAGCCAACGCCTTTCAGGGGGCTAAAATTAGGAAGATGCAGGTGCTTGGATTGGAAATCCAGAGTCACTGGCTGAGCGCAAGTGAGATCTGGGGGTGCATAGCCTGCCCCAGCACCCCCTTAGATCTGACTATGCCAGGCATGGTGTAGAGCACTCGCACTACACATATGAACAGGATTTAGGCGATGAATCGTGCACAGGCATGGTTAAAACTGCCATTGTGAGTGCACCTTTAGACAAAGTGTAATAAATCAGTACACCTAAATACAAAAATTATTTCAGATAAAAATGTGCAAAATCTATACTAGCTTAAAGATGCTTTTGAACAAATCTGTTGTCAAACAGCTCACTAAAAGATATTTAATGTGGTATTAAACCCAAAACTTATTTTGTGATATATTGCTATTCCTTCTGTACTGAAATGTATTGTAATTGTATTGTCTCCGTTATATTGTAAAGTGCTGCGCAAACTGTTGGCGCTATATAAATCCTGTATAATAATAATAATAATATTGCAGCTAACCGATCATTAGATGTGGCAGCTGCATTCATTTTCTTTTTTAGGCTTTTTCCGTTCTGTTTTCACCTGGTGATCTGGCCAGTAACACACCTCCTGTATTAGAGTGCCCCCACTATGGATGAAGGAGCATCTTTGGAGAGCAGCATTGGTAAGCTGGGGGGGGAGGGGGTATTAAATGTACTAGCAGATTTAAGTATACTAACAAATTTAAGCTAACACTTTATAAGCAGTTACAGCAAACAGCTTTATTTTCTTTGGGATAAAGGTTTTTCATAAATAAATAAAGCTGATCATTGTAAACACCTCTGTCAATAGTACCCCTGTAACTGCCACATCTGCAGAAGAGACTTACTAGCCAAATCACCAGATAAAATAAAGGAAAGAAAGACTAAAAAAAGAAAACCAATGCAGCCTTCACATCTATGAATTTGTAAGCTGCAATATAATAAATGTTTGATTTTGGGTTTAATACCATTTTAAACCTTCAGCATATGCATTATAATGCATATCCTCTTAATGCTACTTTGTACTGACAATGAAAAGCAATATTTCCAACCCAGTGAAAGACTGAATCCAGTTTTGGTGTTGTGACAATACTTAGACTATTATTCAAGCCACATTAAGGCCCCTTTTACATGGGGTGGACCAGTCAGCGGGATCTGTCTGCTGATCTCTGCTAAGCAAGTGGATGACAGATCCGTGTCCGTCCGTTTATGCAGAGCAGACACAGACAAAGCCCACTGTCCTTTATGGGTGGTCAGATGGAAGCAGACCGTCTGTCCATTTCCATTCGACTGCCATCTGATCCGGCGGACAGAAGGGGAATAGATCCCCATCTGTTTCTTTTTGGCGGATCAGATTAGACCAGCGGTTCTCAACCTGGGGGTCGCGACCCCTTTGGGGGTCGAACGACCATTTCCCAGGGGTCGCCTAAGACCATCGGAAAACACATATTTCTGATGGTCTTAGGAACCGAGACACCGCTGCTGTCTCCGGCGATGTGTGGGCGGGGATGATATGCTGCCCCTGTCACCGCCTCCTCGCCGCTGATTGGCCACCGGAACTGTAGCTCAGGAGAGGCACACAGGCGGCCAATCACCGGCGAGAAGGTGGAGCTTGAAGAGGAGGAGCCGAGCGGCAGCGCGCGGAGATCGAAGAAGATCGAGGGAGCTGCAGGAACGAGTGAAGAGAGAGGCCAGAGAAGGAAGACAGCTGACAGGTAAGTGCAAATTTTGCTGCTGCAGCCAGGTATGCAGGCTGTAGATAGGAGAGGGAGAGAGCGAGCCCAGGCTGGAGTAGGAGTCAGCAAGGTAAGTATCATTGGTGTCAGTGGAAGGGATAGTGCCCCATCATTTGTGTCACTAATACCAACGATGGGCCCTATTCCTCCCCCCACTGACACCAACGATGGGGCACTATTCCTCCCCCCTACTGACACCAACGATGGGGCACTATTCCTCCCCCCACTGACACCAACGATGGGGCACTATTCCTCCCCCCACTGACACCAACGATGGGGCACTATTCCTCCCCTCACTGACACCAACGATGGGGCACTATTCCTCCCCCCACTGACACCAACGATGAGACAGTATTCCTCCCCTCACTGACACCAACGATGGGGCACTATTCCTCCCCGCCACTGACACCAACGATGGGGCACTATTCCTCCCCCACTGACACCAACGATGGGGCACTATTCCTCCCCCCACTGACACCAACGATGGGGCACTATTCCTCCCCCCACTGACACCAACGATGGGGCACTATTCCTCCCCCCACTGACACCAACGATGGGGCACTATTCCTCCCCCCACTGACACCAACGATGGGGCACTATTCCTCCCCCCACTGACACCAACGATGGGGCACTATTCCTCCCCCCACTGACACCAACGATGGGGCACTATTCCTCCCACTAACGCCAACGATGGGGCACTATTCCTCCCACTGATACCAATGATGGGGCACTATTCCTCCCACTGATACCAATGATGGGGCACTATTCCTCCCACTGACACCAATGATGGGGCACTATTCCTCCCACTCATACCAATGATGGGGCACTATTCCTCCCACTCATACCAATGATGGGGCACTATTCCTTCCACTGACACCAATGATGGGGCACTATTCCTCCCACTCATACCAATGATGGGGCACTATTCTTCCACTGACACCAATGATGGGGCACTATTCCTCCCACTGATACTAATGATGGGGCACTATTCCTCCCACTGACACCAATGATGGGGCACTATTCCTCCCACTCATACCAATGATGGGGCACTATTCCTCCCACTGATACCAATGATGGGGCACTATTCCTCCCACTCATACCAATGATGGGGCACTATTCCTTCCACTGACACCAATGATGGGGCACTATTCCTCCCACTGATACTAATGATGGGGCACTATTCCTCCACTGACACCAATGATGGGGCACTATTCCTCCCACTGATACCAATGATGGGGTACTATTCCTCCCACTGACACCAATGATGGGGCACTATTCCTCCCACTGATACCAATGATGGGGCACTATTCCCCCACTGATACCAATGATGGGGCACTATTCCCCCCACTGATACCAATGATGGGCACTATTCCCCCCACTATGATGGGACACCCCCCACTGACACCAATGATGGGACACACTATTCCCCCACTGACACCAATGATGGGACACTATTCCT